GCAGCAGCAGCAGCAGCAGCAGCAGCAGCAGCAGCAGCAGCAGCAGCAGCGCACCGGAGGTCCAGCGCAGCAGCAGCAGGAGTGAGTCCCTGGGGCATGTCGAGGTTTTCGAACAAATCCCCTTTTCCATCATAAGTGCAAAAAGATCCTTCAACAACATTATCCAAAAAGAGAAGTGCTGCGAGGCCTTCAGCCTTTTGCTGCGCCTCCGAGTCTGCTGCTGCTGCTGCTGCTGCTGCTGCTGCTGCTGCTGCTGCAGCGGGGCGCCGCGCCGGCCAGCGCCAGCAGCAGCCCAGCAGCAGCAGCAAAGCCGCTGCAGCAACCCCCGGGGATAGACGGAACCCTCGCAGCAGCAGCAACATTGCAGACACGGAGAGAAACGCCCCAGCAGCAGCAGCAGCAGCAGCAGCAGCAGCAGCAGCAGCAGCAGCAGCGGCGGCGCGGCGCTGTGCTGCAGCAGAGCAGGAAAGGGGGGACTCCACGCAGCAGGAGCTAAACCCTAAATTAGGGTTTGGCTGCGCTAAACCCTAGACGCTTAGAGGAAGACGGCGAGACGCTCCTTCCGTTTCTCCAGTTTAGGGTTTAGGGTTTAGGGTTTAGGGTTTAGGGTTTAGGGTTTAGGCCCTAGGCAAGCCAGCAAGAACTTCTAAAACAGATTTGAGGAAGAAGGCTAAGGGTTTAGGGTTTAGGGTTTAGGGTTTAGGGCTGCTGCTTCTGTTCGTCCTGAGAGCGCCCCCAAGTGACCCTCGAAGGTGCAGCTGACACATGACGAGGGTTTAGGGTTTAGGGTTTAGGGTTTAGGGTTTGGTGATTGGCCCTTTCTCAGTTGACTGCCAGAAGGTAGAGCGACCGGGTCCTCTAAACCCTAAACCCTAAACCCTAAACCAGGACACTGTCTCCACGTAGGGTACGGCGGATCCAGGAGGGTTTAGGGTTTAGGGTTTAGGGTTTAGGGTTTAGGGTTTGGGTGCCGCATCCTCTTCAAATGCGCCAATTTAAAATATTGGAATGAAAGCAGAGACATGAGGAGCAACAGCTGTGTGCGACACTGAACAGCAGCAGCAGCAGCAGCAGCAGCAGCAGCAGCACCAGCTGCTGCTGCAACCCGTGCTGCTGCTGCTGCTGCTGCTGCTGCAGCAACAACAGCTGCAATGACGCAGCAAACGCACAGGATCCAATATTACGCAAAGGCACACACAACTGCGTCAGCCTGCGAAATATTTCTTAGCTGCTGCTGCTGTTGCTGCTGCTGCTGCTGCTGTCCGCCGCTGCGACCCGCAGCAGCAGCAGCAGCAGCAGCAGCAGCAGAAACAACCGGGGCCCCTGGGGCCCCCCTGCTGCAGTACTCTTGGGATTTTCTCTGTAGTTAATTTGTCAGCAGCAAACTCAGTCTAACCTTTTTCTTGTTGCTGCCTTTTTAAGTAGCAACACCCCTAGCTTTCTAGCAGCAGCAGCAGCAGCAGCAGCAGCAGCAGCAGCCTGGCCGGCGCAGCGCTACCACCGCCGCCGCAGCAGCAACCGCAGCAGCAGCAGCAGCAGCAGCAGCAAATATTCTTCGCACTTTTTGGCCCTGACTGAAAAGTGGGTCTCAGTAGCTGCTGCAGCAGGAACTGCAGCGTCAGCTTTGCTGCTGCAGCAGTTGCTGGAGCAGTCGCCGCAGCAGCAGCAGCAGCAGCTGCTGCTGCTGCTGCAACTGCTGCTGCTGCTGCTGCTGTCGCCCCTAGATATTGTCTTTGCCTTAACAACTGCGGGCATAGAGTGCAGAAAACAGCAGCAGCAGCACCAGTGTCTGTTTGCTGCGCCAGTTTACCAGCAGCAGCAGCAGCAGCAGCAGCAGCTGCTGCTGCTGCTGCTGCTGCTCCTTGAACTCCAGCCAACACGCAGAAACAGGAACTATTGGGTGAAGCCCTGAACAGCTCGGTAGCAGCAGTGCAGACTGCAGCAGCAGCAGCAGCAGCAGCAGCAGCAGCAGCAGCAGCAGCAGCAGCAGCAGCAGCGACAGACCATCGCCATCTCGGTATCGCAGCAACAGCTGCAGCAGCAAGTCTTGTTGCCTTCTAACTTTCGTGCTGCACCAGCACTCCGCGTTGCTGCGCTTGCTGCTGCTGCTACTGCTGTTGCAGCAGCAGCAGCAGCAGCAGCAGCAGCAGCAGCAGCAGCAACAATGGACTCCGGCAGGGCCCCGCTGCAGCCCCCCTACATAGACCTTGAGGCCCCCCTTACAGATGAAGAGGCAGCCATTCGCCTGCAGCAGCAGATAAGCGAGGAAGGCAAGCCAGGGTTTAGGGTTTAGGGTTTAGGGTTTAGGGTTTAGGGTTTGCGTGGCCTGGGCGCAGCACTGCAGCAGCTCCCCCGGAGCTGCTGCTGCAGCCGCTGCCACCTGCTGCAGCACCTCACCAAGCGCTGCTCTGCCGCTGCTGCTGCTGCTGCTGCAGCAGCCCCTGCTGCCGCAGTTTCTGCCGCCCAACCACGCCTCCTGCTGCTGCCGCTGCTGCTGCTGCTGCTGCTGCTGCTGCTGCTGCTGCTGCTGCTGCTGCTGCTGCTGCTGCAGAGGCTTTGCTGCAGGGAGACAGGGCCTTCGTGCCTTATGCCTACGCCTTCTACGCGGCCCTTTTGGGGCTGCAGAGTGTCTTGCTGGGGTGTCTCCTTTACTCCTACAGCGACAACTGGGACAAGGCAAGCAGCAGCAGCAGCAGCAGCAGCAGCAGCAGCAGCAGCAGCAGCAGCGGCAGCAGCGGCAGCAGCAGGGGGTGGCGGCATAGGGGAGCGCATGTAGCGGCGGTAGAACTAGCAGCCAGGGGCAGCTAATGCAGCAGCAGCAGCAGCAGCAGCAGCGTACCACTGAAGTGCAGCAAATGCAGATAGCAGCAGCAGCAGCAGCAGCAGCAGCAGCACACGTTTTTGCTTTTTTGCACGCGTTTGAGCCTTGTTTTATTTGGATTCGCTGGGGGTTTAGATTCAGGGTTTAGGGTTTAGGGTTTAGGGTTTGATTTTCTGTGTCTCATTGCGTTTCTGTTTGTGCTGCTGCTGCTGCTGCTGCTGCTGCTGCTGCTGCTGCTGCTGCTGCTGCTGTGCCGCCTCCTGCTCCGCTCCGCCTTCTCCCTCGCCTTCTCCGCCGCCTCCTCCGCCGCCTTCTCCGCCGCTGCTGCTGCCGCTGCTGCTGCTGCTGCTGCTGCTGCTGCTGCTGCTGCTGCTGCAGGAGTGCGACTTGGGTGCGAAGGTGTGGTCTGTGGTGTGCGTGCTGCGGGGGCTGCTGCAGCTGCTGCTGAACATGGCCACAACGACTTTGCGGCTGCAGCAGCAGCAGCCGCCCCACAGGCTTTTGGTGTCTTCGCGAATTATTTATTTCTGCGGCTTTCTTTGGTGGCTGCTCGGCTTCCGCCTCCTCGTCCTTTCCAAGGGCTGCCAGGGGGGTCCGCTGCTGCTGCTGCTGCTGCTGCTGCTGCTGCTGCTGCTGCGGCTGCGGTTGCTGCTGCTGCTGCTGCTGCTGCTGCTGCTGCTGGGGTTGCTGCTGCGGTTGCTGCTGCGGCTGCGGGTGCTGCAGCGGCTGTTGCTGTTGGGTGGTGTGCGGCTGCTGTGGCTGCTGCTGCTGCTGCTGCTGCTGCTGCTGCTGCTGCTGCTGCTGCTGCTGCTGGGTGGTGTGCGGCTGCTGGTCTGTTTGCTGCTGCCTCCCGGCTGTTTTCGTCTCCGACGGCTTTGCTGGCCTGGGGCTGCAGAGCGTGCTGCTGCTGTTGCTGCTGCTTCCGCACTAGGTCCTGCAGCAGCAGCAGCAGCAGCAGCAGGCGCAGCAAACAGGCACTACGCAGCAGCTCTTTAGCAGCAGCGGCAGAAGCCGCAGCAAAGACACACGCAGCAAACATATACCAGAGAGCAGCACTCGAGCAGCAGCAGCAAGAACGAGCGCAGCAAACACACGTTAAGCAGCAGCAGTTGAGCAGCAGCAGCAGCAGCAGCAGCAGCAGCAGCAAAGTGTTTTCAGTGCCTGTGAACGCCGGCTGCGATTTGCTGCTTCGCTCGCTGCTTCTGCTCTCTCTTGGCGCATTAAATGCGCAATTTAAAGAATAATTTTAATTAATTAATTAAATTAATTAATTAATTTAATTAATTAATTAAATTAATTAATTAAATGATTTAAAATGAACTTCCAAGTTGAACTGCTGCCGGCGACCTCTGGGGTGTACGCGCAGCTGGCGCCCTGGGGTGTATGCGCAGCTGGTGTTTCTGGGTTTTGAATTTTTCGGATTTTTTGCAATTTTGGGTCATTTTTGTTCCTTTTTTCGGAATTTTGGATTTAAAAAAGAACCAAACCCTAAAAAAGGGTTTAGAGGAGGGTTTGGCGGGGTTTTTCGCGCAGCTTTGCCTCTTTCTTCCCTGCATTATTTACTTCTTCGTCCGCCTCTCAGTGCCCCCCGCTGACCGCCAGCCAACGCCCAACTCCGTTTTGCTGCGGCTGGAGGCGAAGACTTACCGGGAGTTGCTGGAGGCCCTCAAGCGCCAGTATAGTCCGCAAACCCTAAACCCTAAACCCTAAACCCTAAACCCTAAACCCTAGGCGCTGGGCTGGGGCGGCAGGGCGGCGCCCAGGCGGCGCTGCTGGCGGCTGCCGCCGCGAGCGGCGCGGAAATTCGGGCTTTTCGCGACGTTTTAGGGTTTAGGGTTTAGGGTTTAGGGTTTAGGGTTTAGGGTTTAGGGTTTGGACTGCAGACATTGAAAACGACGCGCTAATTGAAGCCAGGGACTCCAGCCTGCTCCCCTCTTTGTCCCTCGAGGGGGTACTGGGGGGGGTCTCTTCTTTGCTGGGGGGCCCCGGGGGGCCCCCGGGGCCCCAGGGGGGCCCCCCGGCCTGGGGCAGGGGGCCCCCAGCAGCAGCAGCAGCAGCAGCAGCAGACAGGGGGGGCCCCCAAAGGCGCATGCAGCCCCAAGCCCCTTCCATTTCTGTCAACAGGTGCTGCCCCATTTGCATGGTGGAGTTGGCGGATGAGGACGTGGTGCTGGTAATGCCCTGCGACTCCAGGTCCGGAGGGTTTAGGGTTTAGGGTTTAGGGTTTAGGGTTTAGGGTTTAGGGTTTAGGGTTTAGGGTTTGGGGCCTGCAGTTGAGGGTTTGGGGTTTGCAGCAGGACCTGAGGGCCTAGGGGCAAGGGGGCTGTTGTCAAGCGGAGCTAGTGGAGGTCTAGGGTTTAGGGTTTAGGGTTTAGGGTTTAGGGTTTAGGGTTTGGGGTTTGGGTTTGGGGGGCGCGCAGGCACTTCTTCCATCGGGGCTGCGTTGAGCACTGGCTAGAAACCAGCCAGGCCTGGTGAGCGAGGAATTAGGGTTTAGGGTTTAGGGTTTAGGGTTTAGGGTTTAGCAGCAGAGGCGCCGCCACAAGTGCGTGCTGCATTCAGGAACCAGCGGGGCTAGGGTTTAGGGTTTAGGGTTTAGGGTTTGTGGTTTGCTGCAGCCCCATCTGCCGAGCAAACATCGTTCACCTGATTACTGGGACAGCGGGTCCCTCACAGGGCGAGAGAGGAGTTGAGATGCAGGTCTAGGGTTTAGGGTTTAGGGTTTAGGGTTTAGGGTTTGGGGTTGCGACGGCCACGCGGCGCCTCCTCGCGTGTCTGCAGCAGCAGCAGCAGCAGCTGGAGAAGTTTGTCTGAGTAGAGTTTGCGCTGCAGCAGCACGTGCAGCAGCAAGAGCTGCAGAAGCTGCAGCAGCAGAGCCAGCAGCAGCAGCAGCAGCAGCAGCAGCAGAAGGCGCAGTCGCGCTGGCCTCCGTCCCACTTAAGTACTACTTGAGAAGCAGCAGTAGCAGCAGCAGCAGCAGCAGCTGCTGCTGCTGCTGCTGCAGCTGCAGCAGCTGCAGTAGCAGCTTGCTGCTGCTTTGCTGCTATAACCTGACAAGGCTTTTTCTCTCGTGTAGCTGCAGCATTTTATAAATGGAATTTGCTGCTGCTGCTGCTGGCTCGCTTCTGCAATTATTTATAATTCTATTTAGTCCATTTGCATTTGCATTTCTGTTTCTTTTATTCAAATTTAAAAGAAATAAATAAAAAGGAAAAGAAAAGAATTATTTATTTCCATTTTAGAACCCACGGGGCCAGAACGGGGTGTATGTACACCTGGGAACACGCCTAGCTCCAACGGAAAAAGCTGAAATTAATTTTTTGCCATTCTTTGCCATTATTTATTCTAGTTTATTATTATTTATCATTAATTTACCATTTATTTGCCATTTATTAACCATTTATTTGTTGTTTTGCATTTTTGTTTGTTCTTTTGTTGTTTGTTTGCGAAGAAGTCCGCGCACCGAGCAGCCCGGTGTACAGACACTGCATTTCCTCGTCTGTACACCTCAAAATCCACCAAAAACGCATGCAAAAGTGGAAATAAAAACATTATTTCATTTAATTTGAATTGTTTTACCGAATTTGTCCTCGGGGAATGCAAAAACATAAAAAATAAAAGTGGCGTTTCATTTGCATTATTGGGGTGTACGTACACCTGAGCGTGGCCACGGCTTTGCGCGTCAAGAAAAGAACCGAAAAAAGCGGAAATTTGTTTTTATTTATTTTAATTAAAATTGGTTTTTGTTTTGAAGTTTAAAAGGACAAAAATAATGCAAAAAGGAGCCAGAAAAGGCTGCATGCGCGGGGCTGTTTGGGGCTTTTCTTTTCCTCTTTTTGCTTAGTTCTTTGTGCTGTTAAGTTTTGTTTCCTCTTTTAATTCTGCCACTTGTTTGTATCATTTATCACATTTGAAATTATTATTATTAATGATAATAATAATAATAAATATAATAATTGTAATGATAACAATGACAATATTTGTTTATTTTATTTATTATTTATTATTTATTTAATCCTTTTAAACTTAATCTTGAGTGGCAGCAGACTTGCTTTTACTTTTCGCTTTTTCCCGAAAAAGGCAAATGCCTTTTCATAATACTCATTTCAGAAATAAAAATAAAACTAAATAAAATAAAAATAAATTAAATTAAATTAAAGAAGAATATAAAAAGGAGATATAGTTTTATTTGATATAATAAGTGAAAAAAAGTGTTCAAATGAAATCCATTTCTTTCCATTTTGATTTAAATTGCAACTTTCAAATTGCTGTCCAATTTCCAAAAGAAAAGTCCTTTTGAAAAATGCCAAACGAATTAACATGGAGTTAGAGACAAATTCGAAAAGCCCCAAAACCCATGCATGTGCATACATGCATGCATGCATGTGCATGCATGCATGCATGCGCATGCATGCATGCATGTGCATGCATGCATGCGTTTCTAGATTTGGACTTTTCCTGAAATTATACTTTCACAAAAAGGCATTTAAGTGGAAGTTTTAAAAAGCTTTAAAAAGTCCTTTTAATGGTATTTGCAACTTTAAAGAATTAAATTGAAGTTTAAATAATTTCAAATTGCAAAAGACTTCAAAAACTCCAAAAGTCCGAATTGAAGCTCCACTCCAGAATATGAATAATAAATAAATAAATAATAAAAAGAAATTAAAAAGAAATTCAAAAAAGTGTTTATTTAATTCCAAACAATTCAAATAAACCAAATCAACACTCAACCACAAAAGGGTGGTTTGGATAATGCCCCATTTGAATGTCCAGAATGTCTTCTTTTATCTGCTCCGCAAAAGACCTCCCGCTGCTGCTGCTGCTGCTGCTGCTGCTGTTGCTGCTGCTGCTGCTGCTGCTGCTGCTGCTGCTGCTGCTGCTGCTGCTGCTGTGTTGCAGCACCATGGTTTGCTGCTGGAATGAAAGGGCTTTCACGGGGACCACCAGAGCCCCCGTGCCAACACAAAAAACTTCTCGAAGTTCTCCTTTTTCATAAGCTGGCAACAAGTCCTTTTTGACCCAAATCTGGCTCTCCGACACTGCTCACAAACCCTAAACCCTAAACCCTAAACCCTAAACCCTAAACCCTAAACCCTAAACCCTAAAC